TTCATCATTGATGTTTCTATCTCTTCTCCTTCTCCCTTCCTCTCTGAAATTAATATATATATATGTAAAATAAATAAACCTATATAATGAATGTACTCCTTTACTCCTTCTAGTTCTAAAATATTTTTACTGTAATCTACTTCAATCCCATTACTTTCTCAGTTTCAGTTTGCAATATCCATTCAGTTGAAGATGCAAGCCTCTCATTTCTGTTACCTCCTTTATTTATTTTATTTTGGTCAATGGAGGGGGGGGGGAAGGAGACATATGTAATACTTTCAACAATAAAGAATTTAAATAAAAACATTTTAGAGAGAAAGGAAGAGAGAGGTAGAAAGAGAAATATCAACAATCGGCTGCCTCCTGCATGCCCCAAATGGGGAATGGAACCCATAACCTGGTTATGTGCCCTGACTGGGGTTCAAACACACAAGCTCTTGGTGTGCAGGACGATGCCCAACAAACTGAACCACATTGGCCAGGGCTGTTACCTCCTTTAAAACACAAGCATTCATCCAACACTTCCTTACTCTCCCTACTACATTTTCCTCTCAATTCTCCTTCATTTTCCTCATTTTCTAGCTGTTAGGGTTCTTTGTGGAGCCCCTGATCCTTGTAGGCAAATTCCACTTTATTTTAAAACCTGTTTATCAGCTCCAAAAATTCTGTTATCACATGAGAGCATAAGTTTCTCTCCTGTCCTCCTCACTGGAGATTTTACCTATGGACTCATTCAGTGCATGTGGTTTCCTCAGTGCCCAGCTTCTGCACCATGGAGAGCTTCTCCGGAGTTTGGCTGCACAGGCTGCCTCCCAAGTATCTAGTTCCTGCAGCAAGGATGGCTTCTCCAATGTTCAGCTCCGACAACTTCCCTTGACTTCTTCCCCCTTGGGCATTTTTCTAGCGGATACTTCCACATGATTAGCTTTTCTAGATACACTAGACTCGCAGTGGTCAGCAAACTGCGGCTCTCGAGCCACATGCAGCTCTTTGGCCCCTTGAGTGTGGCTCTTCCACAAAATACTTCGTGCACATGGGCCACGAAGTTTCAATCGCACTGTACGTGCGTGCCCACACGTGGTATTTTGTGGAAGAGCCACACTCAAGGGGCCAAAGAGCCGCATGTGGCTCACAAGCGCAGTTTGCTGACCACTGCACTAGAGGATATTTTTTCTGCTGATGCCTTGTGGGCAAATTCCTACCAAGTTCCACAAGCATGGCAACCACAGTGACTTCTCTTTCATAGTAGTGCCTACTCAAAGAAGGTCTGAGTAGACCCTGGGCAGAGTGTGGGGTGGGAACTCTCTTATTTGAGTGCTCTCTTAGCCCTAGGAGTAGTAGCTATTCTTTACTTATACTAATCTTATGTTATTTAAAAGTTTTATTTTTCTCCACATCCTCACAAGCACTTGTTGTTTGTTGATTTATTAATGGTAGCCATTCTGACAGGTGGTACCTCAATGTCATTTTTATTTGCATCTCTCTGATAATTAGTGACATTGAGCATTTTTTCATGTCTCTTGGCCATTTGTATGTCCTATTTGGAGAAGTGTCTATTCAGGTTCTCTACCCATTTTTTAATTGGATTATGTGTGTTCCTTTTGTTAATGTGTATGAGTTCCTTATATATTTTGGAGATTAACCCCTTATCAGATGTACCACTGGTAAATATGTTCACGTTTCATTTTGATGCTTATTTCTTTTGCTATGCAGAAGCTTTTTATTTTGATGTAGTCCCATTTGTTTATTTTTTTGTTTGTTTCTCATGCCTTAGGCATTGTTAGCAGTGAAAATTTTGCTACGTGAGATGTCTGATATTTTGCTGCCTATATTTTCTTCTAGTGTTTTTTTTTTTTTTGTGGTGATGCACGTAATGCATTTACTCAATCCAAAGCAGGCATTAAAAAGAAAAACCCCAAATGCTCTCTTGTATCCATTTTAAGAGTAGGATTGGCGCTTTCCGCTATTACCTGAGTCCTGATCTATCACCCCAGGGAGAGCTTGCCAATCCTGCACTTT